TCACCTTACACACGTATAACGTTTAAGTTCGTACACGTGTAAAATATATACATATGCATTTCGTATTTGCTCCAAGTACTAAAAAAATCAAGCTGAAATATTCTTTTCCCAAAAATATTAACGTTACGTTAGTTAACTAGTACGATTCTAATTTTAATTTCTAGATTATTCACGATCGTAATTTATAAAAGACTATATGTATACCCTGGGATTGGAACGCAATTCCTGATCAATTATTCAGCTGCCGAAGTTCATTTTGCAAAGACACGTGTATCTCTGTTTTTTATTGCAAAGTTCGCGCCGATAGTTTTGCAAACGTATCAAAAATTGTTCGCATTAAATGCACGAAGAATAAATTTAATCAGTACAGAATTTTTATGAATTAGCATAGTATCCCTTTAATTTTTGGTCTCACTTCGATCACTTACGCCTAAATATTGTCTCGTTAGAAAACTAAATTTCTGTTTTACAAAAAGTATATAACGTTTCAAAGTTTATCCATTTTTTCGTATTCCGTTGCTTCATGTTTCTTCCGCGTTTGAATTTGGACAATTCTCATTGAGATTCAACCCTTCCTTGGCCAGAATATTTTACCACTTTAAATTTCATTAATCTTTTCTCAATTCTTACTTTATATGAAATACCATCACACGTTCATACAATCATAATAATATTTACGTATAATAAATAATTATTTTTGTGTGTTATACTGGCCATGAAAGAGTTAAGCAAATGATTCCAAATTTCAATCTGATATTTCTTAATATTATTAAAAATAATCTTTTTTTAAAATCGCGAGGTCATACACCGCATAAAAAATTGCGTATTCAAGTATTGCAAACAGAGTCCGCAAAATTTTGTCAAAATAATTTTGTACCAATGGTATTTAAAAAAAAGATTATTATCCTTACATTTAAAAATATTCCGAATCCTCAATGTAGATACGTATCGATACGTATTCAAATTTTATGTATACTTGAGAAATATGACTGCACCTTACAGAGCGCCTTAAACTCGATTAACGAAGTATTGTTACGATATATAAATTCGTAAAATGATTCGTAATAGCAGTAACGCGTATCGTTACATATTACATCGCTTTGTTAGGAGCGGTTTTATGTATACCGAATTGAATTTTGTTTCACCGACGCGTACCGCTTTATATTTACAAACTCGAGATTGGTAAAATTGTTTATCGATCCCATATTCGTTTCTTTACATTTTTCAATTCCTGAATTTTGAAACAAAAATAAAACGTGAACCCCTCAAACCACGTTAACTAATGGATCATAAACTGCTTCTTTTAATAAAACAATTGACTAAAAATATCACTTAAATCTAAACGATTCAATTATATTTAGACTAAAAAGTTAATAAGCATATAATCCATAAGTTCTGTAAGTAAATTATATACAGATAAGTAACCCTTTCTTCTTTTAATTTATAATATTACATCCTCTGTACAATAATACTAATCACGCGAAATAATTATTCTGTACAACGAAATGATCCGAGGGGTTAAAATAACACCAGCCGAACGCGATGTTGGCTGAAACTTATGACGCTACTAACAACTTTAATAAATTCGTCCACCAACGATAACTGTTTTACGGGCCACGGTACGATGAATTATTTGCTACATCGATTCATTTATGGTCTCGTAGCAATTGTCGTTAGACAACCTGTTTCACACTGTTATTTAATCCTTACTCATAGATAGAAATTATGATCGATCGAGGTTCGAAGCAGAATAGCAACTTCATTCGTATTCTAACTGCCTATTGAAATCAGTTCGCAAATACTGAATGGTAATACATCAACGATTCGTTATCTTCATGATGGAAGTTTCTGAAACGTAGCACATAGAATTGCTATGAATGTGATCATGATACAAATGTCGGTATGTTCTTTAAATATCAAAAGTTTTTTAATGCAAAGTCTTGTTTTGCGATCTTATATATGATTTTATAGGAGATTATATATGACGTAATATTGTTCAGCTTCAAGCATTTCAAACTGAAATAATAAAATAGATAATATAAATAGATAACACTCTCGGCGAAGTTAATTAGAATAAAGCGCATGACTAATATCAAACCTCAATATAAGAAGTACGTAAAAGATAAAAAAAAGGGAGAAAATATGTTCATTTTTACAGAGTCGCATCACAACCGAAACAAGTAAGGATATAAAATAATTACGTGAGAAGAAAAAATCTTGTATACTGTGGCGAGAACTGAAGAGACCATAAATAAACAAATTTTGTAACAATTGTTTTTTGTACGATCGTACTGCGGAAGGGCCCCCCGGTGGAATTTAGATGGATTTCCACTGCGGTTTGTGGGAACCCCCCCTTAAATGTCAGGGAGGTCCTCTAGGAACCCACAGCGCTTTGCTCTGTTCTTCATCGACCGAAGCTTTAACTTGCGTGCAGATATAAGCTACATTTACGCCAGCCGGGATTACAGCTAAAACAAATGAAAGAATTATCAATAAAAATGAAACTGACTCTTAAACCACCGAATAAACAATCCCGCGTTTCATAAATATCCTTACCGGAGATGTAATGCTTATATTCGGCTTCCAACTTTAATGCCTGTTCGTACATTTCCTTAGCAGCCTTAGCGCTAACTTTGTCGCTCGGATATCTGGAATCTTTCACTTCCTTTATCTGTTTCGTGCTTTTAAATTTGATCAACAAGACTATAGGATAGATTTGATGTCGATGAAGCCGCTCGATCGACGCGATCGATACGTCCAAAATGCAATGAGTATTCTGTAAATAAACGACGAAGAATAAAGTTTTTAACAAAACGAGTAAATAAAAATAAAGTCCTACAAATTAAATAAATTCTATCCATTCTAATTTTAGTTGTTCAATTTAGTTCGTGTGTTTATATATGCTAGCTATAAATAGCGTTATCAATATCGTACACCTATCGAGTATAAAAAATACCTTCTCGCAGATGTCCTTGACGGCTTGCACCGTAGTACACTCGAAATAGCTTCCTTTTTTTCTATAATCCACATATAGCGAGTCGCGTAGACCTTGTTCGAGCGTCGCTTGGGAACAGTGCATAGCTTCTGGAAGACACCTAGAGAACTGTCCTGGAAATTCTTGCAACAGTTTCGTCACCACGCACTCGCTCAAAGGCCCGATAATTAATACCGGTCTTAAAGCTGGATCTATATAAAAAACGATATTGACGACAGTTCAATATCCTGCATAATAAATAAAATTTTACACTGTTCGACGTTACTTACAATCCAATCTCTCGACACGTTGGTAGCTCGCTGGAAGCGTTTCTTCGTTAAGCGTCCCGCTATCGCTGTACCAACCTAAATTCACTCCCGTAAGATGCGATAATTCTTTACTGTCCCTACTGGAAGAACGTTGATGTTTTTTTCGGCGGAAAAAGCTTCTTCTCGCACTTGTGCTACCTCTCCTGGTAGTATCCGTTTCCAAGTCGCCTAACGAGCGTCGCAAAAGTAATTCTTCTTCGACCCTGATATTATAAATACTCGTGTGAGCAAGCATGTGAATAATAAACAATCCTAAATGATTGTTGGAATGAACTTACTTAAATTTACTCGGGATTATGCCACAGGTTTGCCTCCTTCCGCTCTGATCGACTATCCAAGCTCTCCAATGACCCGGTGTGCCATTGAACATTGTATTATCGACGTACAAAATATCGTCTTTATTAAATCTAAGCTGTAGGCTGTCACCGACTTCGCCCGTTCGATCGAACATCGCTTTTACATAGAAACTGTCGCCGGGCTTATCCTTCACCTCGTTATACCTGTCAGGTACGTATTGAGCGATCAAGGTCACTTTGTCCGCCGGTCTAGCAAGTTCCAGAGCAGCTTGCTCCGCAGTCGCTTGTCTAAGATCCACGCCATTGTATTCTAGGATACGATCACCGGTACGTAATCCTGCGTCCTCCGCGAGGCATCCCGGCTGTACCGAATGTACAAATATTCCGACACCATTGCCACCGACAAGAGAGATCCCCAAGTTCGAACACTTCCTTGTCTCAATGAAAAGGTATCTTGGTTCGCTTGGTGGCGGACTTTTACGATTTTGGTCGTCTTGAACTTGCGTAGGACTTCTTATTGTAGCGTTCTGTCGTTGTAACGTGGTTGCTGCATTCAACTGAGCGCGGGTCAAGGTGTTAGCGGTACCGCGTAACGTGTCGAGCGTCGCGGAATTTCGCAAACCATCTAACGTCGCTGAACTACGAAGTTCCGGCTTCCTAATGTTAATGTCCAACGACGCGGATTGCCTAATTTCTCTTTCCCTTTCCTGTGTACCTCGCACTTCCAGCGAAGCAGAATTCCTTATGTCCCGTTCTCGAATCGTACGAGGCGGCTCCAAAGTGTTCGTAGTCTCTCGCATGATAGTTAAGGTATTGGAAGTGTCGCGCGTTGTACTTAAACTACTAGAAGCATCGCGTTCAGGTTCCGAAGTTTCGACCACTTCGATAGTCGTTTTTCTAGGAGCTTCGGGACTATTGCACGGTGTCGGTGACCCACTGCGGCTGCCTCCTTCGACACCGCCAGCTTCCGATGAACTCGAGGAAGCGGAGCCTTCCTCCAACTCGTTGTATTCTGACAAAAAAGTCCGCGTATTAACACGATTATATATCAGGATGAGAGCCATGCAATAATGATAAACATTTAACGAGAACGGTGCAAGAAGATTCGTTTAAAGTGCAGAGCTTGTGATCAGGGATTATTGTTATTATTACTGATATTAATATCATTATACTTCGAACAAAGAAAATACTGTACTCACTGTCCGGGCTGTACTGCACCAGCATCGTAATGGAATTACCGCACTGACGCAACACGTTGGCAGCAAGTTGATAAGTGGCACTTCTCATGTTGATACCGCAGACTTCGAGCAATTGGTCGCCGATTTGTAGACCTACTTGAGAGGCTAAACTGTGCTCGCTGACAGTGGACACGAACACACCGCCGCTCTCCAGACATGAGATCTGAATACCCAAAGGCTCGACCGACTTGTCTATGTGAACTCTTCGGAGTTCACCGGGTGCCGGTCTGGGTTGGGAATAACAATAGTCCGGCATGCTGGACCGTTTGTTCCCGCTACTCCCTCTGAACGTTCCACCGGCACTGGTTCCACCGCCGGTGCCGGGGCTAAGTACTTCCACGTGGAACGTCGGCATCGGGCTGCCTCTTTCCGAGGTTCTCTCTATGCTGCCGGTGGACAATTTACCCACGCTGCTTTTCGAAGTGACGCTAGGATTTGACGGTATTCGAAAACGTTGATTCTCCTTCTTTCTCGGAAACGTTCCGCCTTCGTAGCCATGCGTGTACGCAGGTACATCGTACGCGGTGCCGATCGGCGGTGCGCGCGATTTATGATAATGCAAATCTACAGAGGGTGTGTGCAAATGCCCGAATCCTGTTTGCGGGCCGGGGCTATACGAAGGTTCGAAACAATATGATCGTGCATCGGGCAGTCCTATCGACTCCCCGGACTGTGCAGACGGCAAAGACGGCGGGGACGGGTATCTCGAAGGTAAAGAATTTTGTTGATGGGGATGCGGATGCGAATGCGTATACGGGGGAAATGAAAAATTACCGGTCAACTGTTGTCTAGGGCCGCTGGTCGACGACGTCGATGATCCAGCCCCGGAATAGAGCTGGGACTGGGCTCTGTTATGTTGCAGCGTGTCTACCTGGCTCTCGTTGCTAGGGGTATATTTTTGTGCTCTCTTCTTCGAGAAGTATTCTACGTCTTTCCCCGTAGTGCCCGATTTCACGGAAAAGTCGATACTAGTTTCGGATGGCGTCAGCGTAGAACTAAGTCTGTTCTCTGTGCTCTCGAAGTCGGGCCCCGGTTTCTTATCTATCGGTATATCTTTGAACTGCACCACTGGAGTAAAGGATTTTTGACTAAATAAAGGTCCAGTTTTAAGGAAGTTTGGTAATGGTTTTTCTACTGATTTATATACCGTATGCCGATTGTTCACGTTCGAGAAATTGGTCAAGGGGATGGGATTGGAAATACGATTATAATTATAACTTTCATACTTTGGCGGTTGGTTAAGAAGTACACTTAAGGGCAGCCGTTCTTTCGTCTTACGTGAATGTAAAATAGTACCAGTGCCATTTTGGATTAGAGGCCCACCTCTCGCTTTCGGCCACGTACCTCCATTCTTCTCGACTTTTTCCGTTCCGCGCCGCTTACTTCGTTTCAATACCCCGTTATTCGCTTTCTTGTGATAGCTCTCAATCACCGAGTCCAATTCCGCTATAGCATCCTGTTCCTGTTCAAACGTATTTGGGCTCGAATTGCGATGCCGTTTCTTCTTCTCCTCACGATCTTTACTGTGCTTACGTCCACGTACAATGTCGATTTTCCCCCGTAGATTGTCCCAAGCGTTGCTGATCGGCGTCCCGCTCGGTTTCTCGCTGCTGACCGACTTCGAAATTTTGTAGACGCTTCTATCGCCAAAGTTCTGGGCAGCGACGTGTCTCCTTTCGTAATCATCCGACGGAATCTTCAACAGCAATCTCTCCTGCTCCGTTTGGGAGCAACTATTCACCATTTTTTGTTTCTCGGCGCCGAAACTACCGTCCATGGTCATAGTCTCGGAACTGGTTGCCGAAGGCAACGGTATCCCCTTTAACGTTGTAATAGTCAGGACGTCCATGCTGGTGTCATTCAAAGTATTCATGGCTTCTTGGCTGGAATTAATGCCTTCCATTGCTTTACCATTAATCTAAACAAAAGGACAAATGTTAGATCGACACTTAAACGAAACTGATAAACTAATATGAAACAGCTATCTATAAGACGTACATTTAACACCCTATCGCCGACGGCAAGATTACCATCTTTAGCAGCTAAACTACCAGGTGAAATTTTCGAAATGTATACTCCAAGTTCCAAAGAGATACCATGAGGAACTGAACCAACGGGTAATTGAGTTGTTCTTAACGATCTTCTAGTTAACCGTCGTCTTCTTATTGTCAGTGTAGCTGATCCCATCGAACAGGTACGTAAAGTATCCATGATCGCACGCGTGGATGCACAGTCCACGTTGTTTACTCGTATAATGCAATCGTTCACCCTTAATTTGCCGTCGATAGCACTTCCCGATATTACTTGAGCAACGTAAACCCCTGTATCGTTCGGATAGTACGGATTGTCACGGCCTCCGACAAGTGTGAGCCCCAAATCGCGTTCAGAATCCAAGCACACTCGACTGAGATCCAAATGAACGGTGAGAATCTCCCAATCGCTAACATCGGCGTCGATCGCCGAATCGTGTGCGTGCGACAAGCTCTGCGCGAATTGGCTCGCTCTTAACGCGTGATCACCGGACTCGATCTTCTCCTTCAGATCTTTCAGCTCCTTCGACGCCTCGTTCCGTTGTTTCTTAATATCGTCGGAGTCACGCAGAGCGCCCGCCAGTTCCGAAACCGCACGATCGCGTTCCTTCCTTAATCTATCACAAAGAGTTCTAATACTTTCCCTCTCTAAAACTATTTTATCCCTTTCACTGAAAGCCCAATCTCTCCTTCGTTTCGATACTTCCGCTTCTTGGAGAGCTTCTTCGAGTTCGGCTTGCAACTTATCCACGGTTTTCCTCAGCTTGTCCAATTCCAAATTCGCTTGATCCAAATTGTCCATACGTTCCTTATCCCGTTTAGTATAATCCGTCGGGTTATTTTCCCTTTCGGCTTCTTTGTTTGGGTTATCCCGTTCGCGATTGTACGAGTGCAGTTCCATACGATTCTTGTAATCTCTGTTTGAACCTTCGGAATAATCGCCGAACTTCTGACGTAACTCGTTACACTGTTTCAAAGCCTCGTCTCGATCTTGCAACGCAGATGAAATTTCTCTTCTTAAAGTTTCGATTTGATAGGATAAAGCTTTTTTCTAAAAATATTGAAGGCAGATATTAAAACACAGAACGTTCATTTAAAAATAGTATGCGTAGTACGGCAAGTAATGTACTACGTATAAATAGCTAAAACCAATATAAGATTTATTAGAAAAAAGTAATAACGAACAAATTGTTCTACTTAAACAATTACATTAGAGTAAAAGAGTAAAATAAGTTACTTTAAAAATGAAGACGTACCTCTTCTATAAGTTGCTTGTTCTGGTTCTCCAAATGTGTGATTTTCGTGTAAGCTTGTGTGAGATCGTCGCCGAGTTTCTCCATCTCCTTGTGAACCGTGTCGCGCTCGCCCATAATTAAACTGTACTCCTGTAACGCGGCATTTCTCTCCTCCTGCAGCCGTTTCATATCTTTACTAGCCTTCATACGCAATACCATAGCATGATTGATCTCCTTCACTGCCTCTTCGTGTTGTTGCTGCACCTTGGCCAACGCCTCGCGATATTCGTTTCTCTCCCTAAGCGCGATGTCCCATTGCCTAATAGCAGCGGTGCACTGTTGTTTCAAACCGTTACGTTCACGAACAGCGCTATTACGTTCTTGAACAATATCGTCGTACTGTTTCTTCAACCTCACGGCTTCTTCTTGAGATAATTCCAACTGAATGTCATATAAAATTATATGAATAAAGCTTGAGAAGTTACGAAGAAGTATGATTATGCTCACCTTGTTAACAGCCGACGAATGCGATGATATTAAATCATCGTATCGCTTCCTGAGAGCATCGTAATCGTCTTTGATGGCTTCGTATTTTCGAAGTGCCGATAAATAGTGCTGGTTCATAGTGTCCCCGTTCCCGGTGTTAGAAACAAGAACTTCTTGATTCTGACACCGTAGTTCGGATACCTCCTTCTGCAACGCCTGAACCTCACGGTCGAGGCGTTGCTTATCGTTAACCAGATCTCCATATTTGCCCCGCAACGCGGAGCTCTCCTGTGATGTTGCCTCCAACTGGTTCATGACTGCTATGTTCTGTCCTCTGTAGTATTCCAATTCTTTCATAGTATGTTCACACCTGCAGAACGAAATGGTTCATTACATAAATGTACAATTGTCTATGCTTATTGATCGATGTTCGAAACATGGAACACACAATGAGAAAAGATCAAGCGATACCGTGGCAAATAAAAAAAACTGGGACAAACCGTCTTATAGTATCGGAGTGTTTGTGCCTAAGTAGCTGAAGCTGATGCATGGCTTGATCACACTGAGCTTGCAAACCATCGTAATCGCTACGACATTCGGGACCACCGACGGGACTGCCAACGCTGCCATACCCTCCACTATCTCTTTCTGCATGCCATAAATTAAATCGAGTGCACATTGCAAAATAATAAATTAAAAAGTAAAGGACATATTTGTACATTGAACAAAAATCATATTAATGCAACATTCTGTGTATTAAATTGAAAATGTCGAATGTGTCTGTGTGCATATGTGTTAAAAATAATTGATCTCTCAGACGTTCTAATAAAATTGTAATGAACTGAATATAAACTACTGTGAACAATTCGCTTGTTGCACAACAATTTTCAACATACAGTAAATTTGAGTTATATAAATGGTCCTTACTTATCATCCTTACCCATATTAAGTGCTCCATCTGCAAAAAGAAGATTAATATTAGTCAGGAGCACAATATTTGCCTCACCGTAAATATGAAAAGTAAAATGATTATATTTGTACTGGATACATCGTGTTGTTACAATTGGTAGAACAATATAATCAGGGGCCTAGTTAGCTTTCACCAGGAAAGAAACTCTATGTCACGCATGTAAGCATCATGATTCACTGTTTTTTGCAAAGTGAAATTACATGTAGTCTTTATGTACCGCCTAAAATGCGTTAATTAAACACGAAACTAATGAATTATCTACCTGCTCTGTACATGTTTAATTTGTTTCTTTAAAAATGATGATTAAAACCACTATCAAATGTATAACATCAAACTTTGGAACATGTAATATGACAATGTTAACAGTTATGCTTTCGATCACCTAAAATACAGGTAAAACACTGCCTCTCATTACTTTTGTTTGCTTCAGAGATTAAAATTAGCTTGACAAACCCTTTCATCAGTAGCGTTGAAATTACTGGGTCAAACTTTTCCATTTATATCCGTACCCGACAAGGATATGCAGCCAGTGTAAACATACGTATTAAAATGTAATGCAGAAAACTAAGAACTATGCTCACCACTACTTCCAGCACTATCCAGAGAAGATGCACCAGAAGCCATACTCTTGATTCACCGAGGATCTACCACAAATACTTCTCTAGCAAGGTACGTGCTAGGTATTGCCTGGAAAGTATCCATGCGCTGTACTTCACGGAAGAGTGAACCCTTTGTGAATTACTAAGAAGTAGCCTTCGGGATGACATTACGGCTATGGTCTAAACGGTGCATGGCGCTCATCAGAGGGATGCAACAGTGCACCTGGCACACATACATACAGAGCGGCTCATACTCCAATACAAACACGTTGTTGTACCTTATACATAATGGTGTGTGTGTATAAAGACTTTTTCATGCATCACTTTTTTCCGCGCGGTTATATGTACCGATACCGGAGAAATAACGGGTGGACGTATGTTTTCTGAATGGACGTAATAAATTAATCTACGTTTTGCTGATGTGTCTCGAGTCTCTTATACGAGACCGCGTCTCGCATCCGTTCCCCTTTTTTTCCCCTGTCAATCCCGAGGGGTTATCGATCCTCGGACGAAAGCGGGCACGGACGATCGACGATCGCCGGCTGACTCATTTCTAACAAACTGCGAAAAAACTTGTTATCACTGCCTGAAAAAAAGGAGCCAGCGAGCCTTTAACAGTAATCCCGATCGCGCACCTTTCCGGATAATCCGTTAAACCGTCGGACAACACTGAGGATCGGCACAATTTTCACTGGCTACGGCCGCTCGTATCGCCGCGGACTGCGCACCGTTCATCCCGAGGCGACTAATGTCCCGATATTAACGATAATTGATCGCTCACCTGCTGCACCAACGAACCTGACAATTAGCCATTTTCATTCCGCCACTACACAGCCTGTTTCGCATTGTCGATAATAAACATACGTGCTTTGTGAACGAGCTTGTTGTCCAGCCTCGTGGCGCTACCATCCACGCAAGATTAGTCGATCATGTCGGTCATCCTGCATTGTCGTTCTGCATTCCCGGAAAAACAGTGTATTTTTTATCGAAGACTCTCGTATTCAAGCTCAAATAATAGTACACAGATCATATTTCGATCGTACTAATGATCTAGAACGTCTTACGTTCGTTGATGAAATGAAAAAACAACTTTTATCAAGTCGCTGGAACTGCACTATTTTTCTGAGGTTAATATAGAATTTATAAATATCCTTCGCTTACCTCTAAGATTATTCAACAATCTTGCTTTCTACATGTCTAAAAGAGTTTATTTTTAAATAAACGTGATCCGCTCTCGTTACGTTATCTGTCGATGAAAGTTTCGAGCTAATCTAAATTACACATTCTTCCTTTGTAAAATTGTAATATTCATTCATCCCATTATTTTAAAATCTCTTGCATTATAAAAAAGCTTCAGAATTTATAAATTCTTTTAAAAATCGTACTATTTTTCAAAATAGAAATAAGCGACATCTGGTAAAGGCATTCGATATCTGCATTGCGGCTACCACTCTAAGATGGCGGGTCTGAAACGTTTGAAGTCTGACGGGTGCTTGTGACTTGTGACATTTGAAGAATGTGAAAAAGAAGAAATATTTCATCGTTTGTCGTTCTACCAGAGATGAGTTCTACAATCTGCACTAAACTGTGAGTACTATAAGGTAATTCAATTTCTTCATCATTTATTATTACTTATTACATCAATTTCAAACAGCGCCCATCGTGGCTGCTTTTGGGATGTTCCATTATTTTTGTCAATTTTCTTGTTTATGCAATGAACTATTGTTTGTGCTAATGCCACATGCTATTTTATACATGCAGAGATTATTATGTCAATTTTAATAAGCGCCCTGTCGTGGCTGCTGTTCTCAATTGTTTCTCTCAATTTTTCTACTGACGGAATGAAACATTTCGGGATACGATTAGATATCAGGGGTATAATTTCGAATGTTCTAGTATTTGAAAATTCCTGTCGTATTTCTTTTGACAAGCAATTATTCGAACTGTCAGTTTCTTCACACGCGGAGATTGACTCGTTAAGATTTAATAGGCTTGCTCAATAATAACGAATTCTGTTAATTGGTTCGTTCGTATGCCAACGGCTAGATTATAAAGCGCGGTGTACAACGAAATCATAGACTCGTGGCCAAAATTGGGTCAAGATATGAAACGCATATACAGAGTGTTTCAGAAAATTGTAGCTAAACTTATGTTTATAGAATAAACTATTTATGTTTATAGAATAATAAGTAGGAAGTGAAATGTGAGAATTAAATCATATCGAAATTATAAGCAGGATACCGGAAAATGTTACTTGTGCAATTCAGGAAATAATGCAATTCAGGAACAGTAAGTAATTGTTCTACAATTATATCCCGTAGTGTATTATATTTAATACTTAATTTGACATCTAGAAATTCCTAAAGTTATATTGCATGCGTACGTGCACAATTGTTACTTAGTTTATTTTAAGCATTTTAAGGTAAAGAGTTCATTGATGCACCAATTTTGATATAACTGACAACTCTATCAAGCATGTTGCAGACTTTCTCATTTCGTATTTATACAAATGATATTCAAATCTACAGGTGTTAAGATCTCGTCTCTCGTTTCATTGAGTATACTGTTCAAAGATTGATCTAAAATTCTTGGAAACACCCTGTAGAAAGTAGCCGTGAGTAATACGTAACGAGAATCACGTCGATGTCGACGGAGCACGTCTCCGAAACCTGTAATTACTGGCGCCGGTGAAAGAAGCAGGGCTCCTCGATGAGCAGCCACCTTTTAAAAAGGTGTTAAAGCGTGCCGCGAGCGTGGTTGGCTAGGTGTTAATTTAAAACAAACCAAAGGATAGCCGCGACTCGAGGACCCGTTGACTAGACCTATATTTTTTCACCGAGACGTGATACACTAGGCCACAGTAACGTATCAAAAAGATACGCGATCGTCCGTACCATCAGAAACTTGCCAAGCACTTTATAGCCTTCAGTTTGTCGGTAATTTATTATTTTGGGATTATATTAAATCTGGGATCGTTAAGGACAAGATAGGCAAAATAAATAAAACATTGAGAACTCTTCTCGTAAATTCAAGTATATAACTTTCGACTTTATTTAGAATTATATTACAAATTAATACAATATTTTATCAGAGGGATATGATTAAATAGAAAATGTTTTATTAAGCTTGTATAATTGTATCTGAAAAGATTGCTACGGGTTCAGACATTTTGGGACACGTGGGTGCAGCTCTGGATTTGCTTCCTACCTTATAATCAACGAGATTTTTGCTAATCCTTTTGTAATATCCTCCGAGGTGAAATTCTAGGACCTCCTTTCTTCTGCACCTTTATGTGTTCTTCTTTTTTAGACATTCTTCTATGATTAGTAAATTACAAACTATTCGTCGTGTATTTTATTTATCTATTAGATATATGTAACATTTAATTTGCTTGCAATCGTTAGAACGCAATGAAATAATTGCGCAGGTGAATTCAACAGGCGAGTGTCAGTCAAATAGCCGGTCGAAGTTTATCCAAGCGATAGCTTTTAAAATCTTTCGAAGCTCGAAAGAGTTGAAGATTCTATCTCGCCGTGGTTCTAATGTTAACGAGACAGCTTTGGAGCTCATTAACGTTTCTCCGTTATCACGATCTAGTGGGTGCACACCACTACGCGAAAGCGGACCAAAAGATCCGTTTTCGAAATTGAAAACAGTCCCGTATCACTGACACCGATCTTCCATCTACTTTGGCCTCGGCGTCTAATCGCCAGTTTAAGGGTGCGAAGTATCGGGCATCTGCGATCTATCGATCTACGAAATTAGCATTCAGGGCGTGAATCTTTCGTTTAATGTTGCCCATCCGAAAACTTTCCAAGTAATTTCTTCGCCCTTAAGCGCTGACCGTGTGATCTATGCAACAGAGTCGATGTGACCTTCCTTCGTGCATGATTATAGTTTCTATTCCATGAAAAATTAGGTCCCATGCAACATTTTTTAAAATTCTTTTAAAAGAAATTATTAGTTTGGTGTAATTATTTCTGTTGGAATTGCATCCAAAGTTCAGAGTCTGAAAGCTTAGTAAAACAATGAATAATTTAAATAAATGATCATTAATAGAATATTGATGAAGCATAATTATAGAAATAACATATATTGTGTCATAAGTATATTGGGAATGCACATATCAATCTTTCCTCTATTAGTAAAAAAAAGTTTCCAAAATCAGGAATAACCAAAATTTAATCAGACGAAGTAGTTTATAGTTGTTCTATTACTTAACGAACATTGTAAAACAAGAAGCACGATAGTCTAGGCGATTCGTAGCCGCGAGGTGTAAGGGAGACGCGTGGCCATATTTTACGGGTGGGGGCGTGAAACGGATAATTTCCAAAGGAGGGAGAAACCGATATCCGATCGTATATCAGAACGGTCCGGTCGGTCGCCTTCAAATTATCGGAAACAAGGGCCAAACTAATGGGCCCAGTCTCGGAGCCATCTGGCTCCTCTGGGTCCTAGTCGATTCTACGCCAATTCGATCAGTGTTTTCACACCGCAAAAAATCTGAGGAATTAGCAGCTAACTGTATCCATTTGCTTCAGATCGTGTTAAGGATGTATTAGCTATACAGTCAATCCCAAAAGTTTATGCACTTTAGAAACGCATTTTTTAAAAAGAAATCAGACATCGGAAGAACATTGCTAATAATAAACAACAGAAAAAAATTTTCGATTTTTCCGAGATTTTTCCAAGGGGTACTCCTTGAATTTCTTCCAAATTTTCGTTTTCGGCCAATAACTCCCAAACCGTTGGACCTACGGGAAAATTGCATCAGACCTTTTTTGTAGAGGACGACGAGATCTACAA